CTTGGCAGTACCACATTGCTATCAGCAATGTAACATTTTATTTTCTCAGTGTGTGTTAAAGGAGAAGCAATCTCAGACCCAATGCAGTACATGGCATATATTTTGGATTATAAAAACTAATTCTGACACTCCACTTGGTGAACAGAATCTTTGCATGCGTGACCTTTTAATTGATTAACAAGCAGATTTTGGCATAGCGTGCTTAACTTATACTGTTTGCTGTCGTTTTTCCTTGAAATCTCAGTCATCTTAATTAATTTACTGATTTGCAAAAATAATAATTAAACTGTCAGTCGCAACCATCGCCAGCGACTACAACAACACCAACTACAACTACACCCCACAGCTGTCACTGCTCAGCTGGTTCCTGTATTTCCTGCTCCTTTTTTTTGTTTTTTGGTTTTTGTTGTGCACACTTCCGTTCTAAATGTTAAATTCCTTACGGTCAGAGCGAGAAGACAGGCCAAAAAAGGCTTTGGCCAGGCGCCAGAAACACCGACGCCATCGTCCTCGCATTGGTTTGGTTACAGGCCCCAACACTTAATTAAAATGGCATCCGGCCACGCCAACAACAACAACAACAAGAACAAGAACACAAACAACACCAACTACATCAGCAAAAGAAGAAAACCCAAATGAAAAGAATAAAAATCCGTGGCATCCACATTCTGCTCTGTCTCGTCGGCAGCCCGTGTGAGTAAGCGAATTCATTTCCCGCTTTTGGTCGTTGATTGATATGCCAATGAAGCGCGCCGAGTGCAGACACAGCTCCAAGCAATACAAGCCTCCAAACCACCAAGCCGCCCAAGTACGAGGAAAAAATCTAGTTCGTTAGCTCTTATGCAAAGCGGACAATCGCATACATTGCGGCGCACTCCCTGGCACAAAATCAACAAATGCAGATGGGCCAGATAAATTGCCAAATTGAAGCGGCAGCATTGACGCCGTCGCCAAAATCGATGGCAACCGCGACGTCCTCCCTATCAACTCAACCTGACCAAGGCCTGAGCTCGAGCATCAGAAATTGGTGGTAATTTATTCGCGAAAGAAATCAAAATGTAGATCTCAAAATATACCAACTAGAAGATACCCACTAAACAAGCCTTTAATATCGTAGCACATATATGAGAATATATCTTAAGGGAAATATGATTTCAAGTTAATTTTGAGTTAATGATAATGATATCGATAAAAAATCAAAAACAAAAAAAAAAAGAGTTGCCTACAACTCATTCTTACGTTTGGACTTATCCTCCCTATGATTGATTATGTTCAGACTATATTATACCCATCTCCAAACTATTTTAATGAGTTGATAGCTAGATAATCCCAGAAAAAGGAAAACAAAATGGTTTCATCAAGCGCTTTGTCCTTTAGCCATCTTTGATGTAGCCCTTCAAATGACTCTTTAATATTTTTCAAGACAAGCATAATTACTTATAGTCTTGCTGACTGCTATGACCTTTGACTAAGATCCAAAAAAAACAATTTAGTTTTAGTTTTCCCGAACTAAAAATCATCAATAATTCGATTATAAAGATGACTTTGAGCTCGTTCACACTTAGTTAATTCAATTGTTTCTATAGTTGATTTTCTGTTTAATACTTGGCTCATTTTAAAAAAATTTAATTTTATATATTATATTAATTAACAAGAAATAAAGAAGTAAAAAATTGTTAATTAAATTATTCATCTCAAGTAGAGCATTTTAGGGTCGCTAGCATGCATAGATTACTTGTCCCACTCCTTCTTCCTTTTAGACATGGGCGTGCTTGATTAATTGCAGACTGTGGTTAAATTTTTTCTGCTGATTTCGGCAGTTTTTCTGCAGATTTCTTTTATTCTTATTCGTTTTTTGTTTCTCCTCCTCTTTCTTTTTTGTGGTCATTGGTTCGCTATGTGTGTTTACATGGCCACGTAAGCAAAAATATTTTACAGCTGGACAGAGAGGCCAAGCACAATGACTGGAACCTGATCTCCTTCCGATAAAAAAGACAACGCATATGTACTGTGTAGATGTATGCGTATGTATAAACACATGTACATATATGGAAAGATACATTTTAAGTCTTTATTGCCGCTGCAGAGAATTAGCAAGGCCCGCGGCCATTAATCAATGGCGCCAGCGGCGGTTGCAGCTGTGGACTGGGATGTGTTCCACTCTTAAAGTATGCGCTTTATTATTTACTGCATATATGCTCTTCTTTTATTTTTGAGTGCGGGATGGAGGAGGGTGGGTTGGTATTGTGCCGCTTGGTATTTTCCGCTAGAATTTCTTCGCAGACACTTCCTGGGCCGACGACTGCCTGCATGGCTGCCTTGCTGGCATGTGTGCAAAGTTACTGCCCACATCCTGTGCACTCAGCGCTCGGCTGCAGATATTTTTCATTTTCGAAAAAATTTCCGTTATGATTTCCTTGCATTGCATTTAGCCATAGCACAAGTTTTCCGCCCACATACACACACACACACATACAATTCTGTGTGACTTTTTAAATAGAAATTTGAATACGACAAGGCAGCGTATAAGATTCAGATAATGCTAGCCCGACAGCCAGTATGGCGTATGCCTGCCTTTCAGTTGCCGGAGTTGTCAGAGTCCAAGGATTTCACTATTATTGTTTTTTTTTTTTTTTGGGAAACTTGACTTTTTATTTTTATGCTAAACTGTTTCCTTTTGCGGACAGGCGCATTTCATTTGCACAAACTTTGGCAAAGTATGTTGAAGCGGAAACGGAAGTTATATACTCCACTGATAAGTTTCTTGTTCGAGCAGCGTTTCGATCAAACACGAATACTCGAATTGCAGAGACTCTCGACTCTCAATTCTTGACTCTGGACTCTTGACACTCTGCAGCCACTTGCCGCAGTTAATTAAAAATGGCATCAATGAATGAGCTATTGCATTACACAATTGATTATGCAAAAGTACTTGCATTTCCTGTCTGTCCGCCTCTCCACTCCTCTGCTCTCCTAGTGCTTCACAATATTAAAATAACAAAGGGCGCACTTGGGTCAGAGACAACAAAAACGAAAGAGAGGAAAAAACCTGCAAGAACTCTTCTCAACTTGTTGTCTTTCTAAGAATATTTTAATAAGTATCACAACAACAATAACAACAACAGCCCTCTCCACAACAACAACAACAACAACAATAACAATGCAAAAGAGTTGGCAGCAAAGTTGTTGCAAAACTGCCGCCGCACAAGTGGCACAAACAAAGTTCTGAATGAGGTAGAAACTCTCTCAGCCCCGTTGCCAAACCACTCTTCCCCCTCACTCTTGCACTTCCTTCTCACGCAGAGAAAATGTAATAAATTTCTATACAAAACGACCACAAAATCGTTGTGTGTGTGTGTGTTTGTGTGTGGGCTGTAGACAAAGAAAATATGAAAACAAGAGCAAAAGTAATTCAAGCCAAAAATGCTAGGCTGCGGCTATCTATCCATCTATTTTTGTTCGCCGATGCGGAGGAGGGGCAGTGGAGAAATTCAATTTTACTTTTTTTGTCTTAAAATGCAAATTTTGCATATTCAATAAACTTGTTTCTTGTTGTCTGTCGCTGCTGCAGTTGTTGCAATGTTTTATGTTTGGTTTTTAATAATTTATGCAAAATTAATTTTGGTTATGAATTCCAGGCAATTTATGCAATTGTATTTTTTGAAAGTGAGAGCAGGAGATTGAATGCTAGAAAGAGACGCCACTTACCCTTGGTAAGAAGAACAGTATTGATGGCAGATAGGTATTCCAAATATTATATAACATATATACATGGTTTTTTTTTAATAGGAATTAAGAATATTAATTTTTTAATAATGTGTTGGCATTTGCAAACAGAAAAATTAAATTTTTGACAGGTCTACGGGCAGGATATCCACATTTTCTGTTTGCTTTCATTGGCATCATTACACACAATTTCAATTAACTGGATGTTATGCTAATATTAAATGCGCTTCTGGCTTCTGGCGGCAGCAGCAGCAATCAAATAGAAAACCAAAAGCATACGTTAGTTTAACATATTTACACATTTACACGTGTTCTTTATTTATTGACTGTGAAAATTGTTATAAATTTGCAATATTTAATTTACAGCCATTGGCAGACATTTGCCACGCCCGCAAACACACGCAGACGCCTGCTGCTAATTGCCAAAATCAACCAAAATTAGTGGAGGGGAAAGTGCACATATTTTACAAAAATAATTAATCACAATTGAAACAACCTGCAACAACAACAACAAAAACTACCACTACAGAAAACTATCAACCAAAATGCTGTGCAAAATTTTGCAATTGTCATTCAGTAAAAGTTAGAAGAAAGCAAATTAAATGTATATAAATTAATAATCAAACTAAAACAAACTGCATGGATAAAGTTAATAGTGTGAACAGAGCTATATATAAAACTAGAAAGCAAAGCTATCTTCGGCTAGCCGAAAGTTGAATACACTTAAAAAATATGTATAAGACCAGTTTAAAGTTAAGTTGACTTTATACTTTTAAACTTATTATGTAACAACTAAAATTTGGTGCCACAGGATCATGTGAGTCATTTAAAAATAGCATGGAATCAGAATCACGGATAGTTAAGAACTAGATCACATCTTTATATCAAATATATGTATATTTTTAAATACTTCTTCAGACCACACAAAATAACAAAGAAATATTACCACAGCAAATGTATGCATAAATTCCAACAAATATAATAAAATTAAGTTAGCTGGCTTAAGGATTGCAACTCCTCCAAATAATTGTGTATAGAAAAAAAATAATGAAAAAGCAAAGTTTTTTGCATAACTAATTTGTTGAGCTTAGTTTGTTGGTTCTGATTTATGACAAAAATAGTATAAAGTATGCAAATGAAGTAAAAGAATAGAAATAAAAATGTTTGCAGTTTAGATAAATGTCAAAAGTGCGTTTACATATACAATTAATTGTGTAGCATTCCTTTATTTGTGAGGGAGACTTGGCAAATTGAATATACAGATTTTGACTTACCCCTGTTAAAGACTGTTTGTCATTGTAAAGCGTTGCCTGAGCTCCAGACGTGGGTGAATTCGCAGCTGTTGTCGAGCTGTCCGGACTGAAGTAAGTGAGGAAGGCGCAACCTGTAATTGAAAGCGTAGAACAAATTAGTGAAATAATTATTTTATTGATATACTTGGTTAGCCTACATGTGATACTGATTGTTAGTTTATCCAACAAATAACCTAACAGTCAGTAATTTGAGCTCATTTAAAAATAAAAATTTATGTAACACAAAGCGCTTAAGCTCAAAGCTAAGCTGTGATTATATTTGTAAATGTAAAACAAACATAAAAATAGCTTAACTCATCCCAATTTTCTCTATCTATTTCGCATGACTATTTTCATGTTTAACATGTCAGTTATTTTGTTTTGTCGCTCAATTAAAGCTCCTGTGTGGATTATTATTCATCCTTCGTTCCTCCCCCTCTAATCCTAAACTGCGCATAATTTCGTGGTGCTTTGCGTGTTGAGCGCGTCAACTTGTTTACCGGCGTTTTGTGACCATTTCATAAAAGCGTGTGATTTTTTAAACATCATTTTTTGTACAACTCTGTTTTTTATGTACTTAGGCAAGCACAGTTTGTTCATGGTAGGAGTTAACTATTCTTGTATGTTTAATAAATATCTCATGTTATGTAAAATGTTTGATTAAGTCAGTGAGTATGGGCTGAATTCTCTACACAAATGTATTCGTTTATTTCTCAATTATATTTAATAATAACAAAATAATAATTATTAACATATTCATATTAAGGTTTCTATAAAAACGTAACTTCAGCAAATAACACCAGCTCTGTTTATAAACTGTTCAAAGGCTTAATTTAAGTTAATTAAATCAATTAATAAAGTGTGTAGATCATATAAATATAGGATTAATTTTCTATATTGACAGCGCTCCCTTTATTAATTATATGCCCATCTAACGCCGCCTCTGTACAACAAATATCGAGAACTAAGTAGAACATGTCAGGCAAGAACCAAAGAAAAAACAACAACAACAATAATAAGAACGACAGCAGAACCAACACCAACTTGCATACCAACTATGATGATATGTGGTTCTTTCAACGTCACACAGCATGGACACGAGCCCCAGCCCAGACCCATACCCAAACTGCTGCTCTGCTGCTGTCTGGTGTCTGATGTCTGCTGTCGTCGTCAGTGTGCCTGTGGTGTTGCCTGTCCTCAGTAGTGTTAACCAGCTAACCGCAGCAACAACAACAATTATATTTAATTTTTAGGCAAACTCTCGCACGTTTCTAGCCTCGCCTCTGGTTGGCCTGTTCGGTCTGCTCGGTCGGGTGGTGCCTTTTGTCTGGCGCGCCTCATGCAACACGTCAAAAGTTGAACGACAGCAATGGCAACAAAAGCTGCCAGCGAACCGGCGACGGCGACGGAGACGTCGACTGTTGCTGCTGCTACTGCTGCTGCCAAACAAGCCAAAACGTCTAAAAACATAAAAATTGTCGACACATTGTTGAAATGCCAGGAAATTATGTGGCAGCAACGGGTCAACCATATACTCAAACACACGGCAGCTGCCAGTAATTAAAATGAGTAAAACACAGCAAGCACCGACAGCACAACAGCAAGGCCAGGCCTAATGAGTTTATTAATTAAAAATCACTCATATATGTGTGTGGTCGTTGTCAGGACACGCTCTCTTTCTCCTCAATGTTCACTAATTGCAGTCAGTTATCTCAGGCAAGAAATGTGCTACAAAATATATTCTAAACACGACACCAACAAAACCCGAATAGCCAAAAAAAAAAAAAAAAATCAACAAAACTAAAAACCCAAAATACAAATAAAAACATTATCACAAAACAAATTAATAGCTGCTCAACCTGTAGATACCTCGCACAAACACTTATTACTCTAATAATTTCCAAATTTCAATGTGTGTAAATGTTGTTAATATATTATTACATCGTTTAAGTTCTTAAAGTTCTTCTAAAGACTTTCAAATTTAAAGTTCTCAAAATACATATTACTTATTCTTAAAAAAAAAGAAACTCTTGTCCCTATTTACTATTTATAAGTTTTTCATTTCGCAGATTTTGTTGGAAGAGGATCAAAATTTTAATAAGCTCTTTCAGCAGCAATTGTGCACAGGGTATCACAAAGGAAACAACAATAGGGCGCCATGCGTGTTGTGGAGCGTGTGTGTCGCATTTGCGACGTCAACAACAACATCAGCAATAGAAACAACAACAAAGACGAGGAATATGAAAACAAAATGGCGAGCGAATCGCTTGTCAACTCCTCGCCGCGCAATTCGCAATGACAGCCAGAAAAGCTGCTAATGACTTTTAAAATACAATTTTTATAACGTGCCGTTCGTAGGAAAAACAACAACTGGCTTGGACTCTATTGTTGTGCGGCGCTTTGTTTGGTTTTTGTGTGTGCACCTCGAACCCTTCCACCTAGCCCCCTCCCCCCACCATCACCCCTCCCTTTTTTTCCAGCTCGCACGTTTGGCGACAATTTGCAACATGTGCGTCGTTGCGAGGACTAGAAGCGCTTTGGCACTCAAGTGCCTCCTTCTGGTCTTTAGTTTTAGTCCTGTTCTGGTTGTGTGCTTGCGCGCCGTTGAGTGGCCTTCAAATTGGCATCGTTTAAATGGCTACCCCGACCCTTCGTTGTGGTGCTCAGTAGTGGGTATATGTGTATGTGTAGTAACTGCCGTTAGCTGCCTGGTCAAAGCAATTAGTTACGCATACGCCGCGTTTAACCCGCTTGACACGACCAACACAGCAAAAACCCCAGTAACCAAAAAGGAGCCGAAACAAATTAACAAAATGACAGAACTTTTAAGCAAACTAAACGTTTGCAAATGGTTTTAATTGCTCATACCAATTGCCATTAAATGCTTCCCAGAAATACTTCTCACTGGACAGTATCTATTAAAAAATATAAATGTTTGTTTGTGTGTCATTCGAACGTCGCTTGCTTAACGTTAGCTGACAACTACGGGTATAAAATTTTAAATAAATATGCAAGGCTAACTCGTTCTTTTAGTTACCATTAAAAATAATAAATTAATAGAAAACAAGCTATCATTTAATCAGTAATCATTTCTTCGAGTATACCTCTATCAAATAATATATAAATTAAAGCAGGCCCAAACTTACATAAAGCATAAATATGAATACTAAAACCAAGCAATTCTGAAAGATCTCAAAAATTGTGCCAAGGGTAATTGAAAAATCATCTGGCATTCGGCAACAATCTTGCGTCCTTCAGCTGCGTATTTATAGTATTCTATTCAAACTTTGTCGACATTTGCTTTGGCCAACTAACTAATCAAAATTCAATTGATGGCTGCCACGCTCTCAGTGCTTTGCTCTAACGACAAGGCCAAGCCACCAATTTTAATTGCAACTCATCAAAGCCCAGCTCCCTGTACTGAGTACTCATTGGAGTGGCACTCTAAAGAACTTTTTGGCTACCACAAAAGTGAGACCTTTAATTCTCTGCTATGACTCGTTGTTTAGTTGGGTTTTTTGGGTGGGAGTTTGGCTGGACGGATGGCTCTGCTAAGTTAATTTTTTATGCATGCACTGAATTTGAATGACTTTGACAGCAAAGTACACAAGTGCCCGTCTCGCTGGCTCTTCTCTTTTTCGTGGGGTGTGTTTCGTTTGGTTATTTTTTTCACTTTTTCCTACTTACATTTGCCATTGCGCTTGGCGAAATGTTTTGCAACTTTTAATAAAATAAACTTATTTGCACAATATAAATACATACATAAAACATGCACCGCCTCCGTCGCATCGTTGTCCTCTTTGATATTTCTATTTTTCAATTTTTGTTTCACTTTCCGCACAAAACTTATGCTAATTAAATTCTTCAAGTCGCTTGGCATTTTTCGCTTTTCACTTTTGCTGCTTGTTGGCATACACTCTTTTTTTATTCATTGGCTTGGCTGTTTGTTTGTTTGGCGGAACCACAAGGAACCATCAAGTTTTGAGTGGTTACCGCTGGTTCTGGTACTTTGTCAGCGGATTTTTGGCCCTGTTTTGCGCTTATGGCTGCGGCCAAAGTGATTCATTAACATGCTCGTCGCTCATGTTAATATGTCTGCTAAATGTCAGTTTTTGGTCAGCCACAGAGAAATATATGTATACAAATGGCTTCCGGATGGGTTACGTTGTCTTTTGCTTTGTTTGCTTTATGTGAAAGTGAAAAGTGAAAAGTTTTCAGTTTGCGTACGCACAAAAGTATGCAGTGCAAACGGCATAACAAAACCGCAGGCTGAATACTTTATTTATGACCCACAAAAAAGTATGTGTGTGTGTGTGTATTTAACCTTTAACACTGACATTCAAATGTGAAAAGTGAACAAGGAGTGTGATAGAGAAATGTAAAACATTAACTTAATATGATTTATAGAAATCATGTAATATGATCAACATTTGTTGCGTACGATTGGATTAGAATTGATTGAGTTTTTGGCAAAAAAAAGGGACATTGGCACTATATCGTAAAATATTAGTCCTTATACGAGTCACATATAAGATACTCTTCACACTCACACAATTTATATTTATTATAATTATCATTTTTTATATATATTTATATTATTCCTGCCTACTTTTGACAAACTTTCTAAAGCTGGTGTGGAAATGGTTTAAGTATATTTCTTAAACCCATATAAAAAGTCACTTCTAGTTCACTTTTTACTTAAGCAACTGCCACATATTCTTCAAGCTGAAATACAATTTAGTTAACAATCTAAAGGTACCCTCAATGTACAACTTTTGTACCAGTTTGAGTCACTTTGAAAACCGTTTGCCTAATCCCCACATTAACTCACTTGTAGGACAGCAGAAAGATACCCTAAAAAACCATGTAATAAAACTTTAGCAAACTCAATTTAACTCAACGGCTTTAGATATCGATCTAAAGCAGTAACTACTTCAAGTCTAAGCCGCCTTAACATACGGGAAAAACCCCGCTGGCAGCAAATTAACTTTTACACATGTAAAATACAGTAGAGGCAAAGTAGTAACAAAGCTCTAGTCGAGAGACACCAAGTCATTAAAACATGAAAACAGTTTTTGAAATAAATTTAATAGAAAGTCTCACAGCAACAGCTTGAAAGACGGAATGAAATTGCAAAGATTCCCCTTCTAACTTTCAAATGCTGTTTGCCAAAGCCTATTATCCCACTTTATTTATTTTAATAGCTACAAGCTACAATATACTCATATATATCACACAATTATCTAAAACAAAAACCAGTTAACTTATTCATGTTTTGTTGTATACGAAGTTCAAAAAGCAATTGATGTTGCTGCAATGTCTGAAACCGCAACTAAATAAATTATAAGCCAGCTACGATTAAAGACGCTTACGGTAAGGCAGCACAACAAAAAGCAACTAAAACGTAAACTGAAAAGCCATTAAGCATAACCATTTCCGGCATGGGGGGAAGAAAATAAAAATACGGGCTGGTAACTGGTAACTGGTAACTGGAGAGGTGTGCAACAAGCGAAGCTGCACTTAAGACGTTTAACAAAAGGTAAAGTCAGATCAAAGCAACGAAAGTCCCAGCCAGACCAGCAAGGATTCTTGAAGTGTGTGTGTGTGTGTGTGTGTGTGTAGGTGTGTGGGCATCTTGAGTGTATTCCGAGCACTGCCAATAAACAATAAAAGCTGAGCACCACTTCTCGAGCCCTTCAACGTTCATGCCTGTATTGTCTGAGCTTTAAACACATAATAACTTAATGAATAACTTATGTAACCCATAATACCTGGCAAATTACGTGAGAGCAGGCATAAATGGGGTCTGGTGGGCGTCAAATATTTAACTAGACGCCTGTGGCATATTAGATAATATGAGCGGAGTGCATAATTCATATTTGACTAATAAGGCGGCATTTATATATATGCCTCGACCAATTCTCCCTCTTCGTCTACTTTCGCATGTTGCGCCGCACATTGCCCAAAATTTATTTTCAAGTTTTGTTCGTTTTTGTCTGGGGGAATTTTTTTGCACGACTGCTGCTTTGTTTGAGTGCCACTTTAAAAGTTGAGTGGCACGCCCAGCAATTGCCTCCACTTTTTTTTATTATTTTGAATTTGGTTGATGTTGTTTTTTTTTTTTGTTTTGCTCCTTTTGCCGCTTGCCAGCGTGTCTGTGGTTTGGCTACGACTTTTGGCCATGTCAAGCCTTCTTTTTGATACCCTTTTAGAGGGTCTTACAAATATGTCATTAAGTGTGAAACATTAGCCAATCTAAGGCTGTTTAGCTTTAAGATGTTCAGCATAAGAGGTGTAATTAAGCAAAAGGCAGACATATATAAATTGTACATTAATTCGCTAAGAAATATTTAAAGAAATTATGAAGAAGTCACTTGTCAGCAGTCATCCAATTTTTCACTAAATCGAATAATATTTGCATTTTTATTTATTTTTTATATATTTTTTTTAAAGCCGTTTATTCTAGTTTAATAAATCGTTAAAGAAAACTTCCTTTAGACATTTAAATTATAATATTATGTGGTAAGGGTATACAATCTACCTTCGACAAAAAATAGTAGCTCATTCTTCTTTTTTTTTTGCATGTAATAAAGCAAAGTTCAGCGGCCATTATCAGCGAGCACAATCGAGCCAGACGAACCGGACGTATAGACAGCACTAGACACACACACACACACATAGACATATATATAAACAGACAATTGCAATAGCAAAAGCGCCAAAAAGTATGCTTTTACTTTTGCAGACTGTGAATGGCTGTCGTTATTGTTGGTGCTGCTGCTGTTGTTGGTATTCTGGCTTCTATTTTGGCAGCCGTTTTTCGTGTTTGGGCGCCGTTTTCTCTGCTGCTTATGTTATTGTTGTACTTTGTTGTTTGGTAGCTTATGAAATATTCAATTGAATTTAATGTACACGACCGACTGACTGACTAAGCTGGGTTCACAGCAAAGTGCTCAGAGTTCAAGCCAATGATGACTGGCGTCTGTTTGTCAATATTTGTGCTCTTTTCAACTGGCTCCATTTGTGTCGAAGTTGACAGCAACTTAACCTGGCTTTAAATGGAGTAACCCAACTTGAAAAATCGTATATATGATTTATATTTGATCTATAACTTTTTAAATAATATACTTAATATACATCCTTACTTTATATTCCACGAACAACATAATTTGCAATAATATAACTCTATTTTTATCTCATATTTACTGCTTGATTATTTTGCAGCACATTTAAGAAACACAAGCCAATTGAGGCGTATGTGTTATGTATCTGTATCCAAAGTCCTAAGGCACAAGAAGGAGGTCTGGAATATTTGTATTTTCTTTTTCCTTCTTTTTAATAATAACATAATGGCGCATCATTTCAGTTAATGGATTGCAAGTGTTGCCAGACTGTGTTTCATTGCCTTCATTCGCTTTTTTAGCTTGCAAAACTGGCAAAAGTCGGCTTCGCCTTTGCTTGGGCCCCTTTTCCAAGTTCTGGTTGGCTGGCGTCCCATATGAGCAGCTGCTTGCTCCCGAAGCACATTGCTTAATGGCGCTAGTTGCCTTTTAAGTGTAATTGCCGTGTCCCAAGTGTTTGTAATGTGTACAAATTTCTACAATTTTTCCTGCCAGCCAAGAATGAGAGCCAGAACCAGAACCAGAACCAAAACCAGAACCAGCAACTTGAACTCATTCCCATAGCCCTACCCAAAACCAGGCCGGACCATTCGTTTCCGTCTGTGCTTTTAAAATTATTACTATATTTGTAAATATGGCTGCCTCTTAAAGCTTAAAGACTAGCATGTCTGCCCAAAAATAAAACAATAAAAAAAAGTACGCTAGAGTTTTACTCACTGGCAATGTGCTCGTTGTGAAAGGCCAACATGTTGGATTGAAGGGGTTTTTAACAGCTTTCCCAATACGTATTATATAGTATTTGTTTGTTTGTTTGCTTTAATGTCGTTTTTATGGGGTTAACGTTGCTCTACAGCAGCTGCTGCATCCGCTGTCTGCTACTGTTGTTATTATTGTTGTTGTTGTTGTTGTTGTTGTATTACTACTGGCCCGATGACAGTCAGAATCGCGAGTTTTGCGGCTGTGGCGAATTTCACACTTTGATTCTCGATATAGTCGCACTCGTATTTAAAGCCGCAACAATTTGTAGCCGCAAATGCCTGTAAATAAAATAAAAAGATTGCTCGAATTATTGTATATAATTAATGCATCGTAAAGAATAGTCAATGTAATATCTCGATAGTGATTCAAGAACATATTTTAAGTTTGCTACAATTTTTGGGAACGTTCTTATAAGGAAGTTTTGTAAGGAGATAGATTGTTGACCTTACTTAAAATGTTTAATTTGTGCAAAATACACATTTTTAGTAGCACTAAATAATATTTTTGACTGTTGCATATTATAATTATTTTTCGTAAATAATTCTCTTTAAAGGAGTGACTTTATATTTTAATTTATTTGATATATCTCCATATGTATATACATATTTACAAAAAACAAAAATGTATATGTTGATATATAAAATGATTTTCTTACGAATGTTTTTCAATTAGTCACTATTCGCCTTTGCTCGTTGCTCTTCTTGTATACCAAAGTCTCCATGCCTTTAAGCCACAGATTTATTGTTTAACTCCCCTTTTTATTATCCGCCCAAAAACAAATTGCAATGCTTTGTGAGAAATATGATTTATAGCCCAAATGAAGAGAAGCTTTGCTGCCGAAAATGTTAAGAGCATGGCCATTATTTAGAGAACAACTTTAAATGATAAAATAGTTTGAATTAAATGTTTGGTAAACAAAATATACTAAGAACTGCATTGTCACTCTCGCTCTAATTCTTTCTCTCTATCTGTCTCCGTCTCTCTCTCTCTCAATTGCTGGCGGCGGGCGGCTCAGTGAAGCGCACACACAGCAAACGGAAGCACATGCTGCGGAAGTGAATTTCTTTGCTTCCGCTTTAGCGCCATAGTACGGCAACAACGGCAACACATAGTTAAGCGACGGCGTGCAACAGCAACAATCAAAACTAAATGTCAAAAATACAATATACCAGTTGGGCAACTCCAAAAATAGGTTTGACACCATTCGAAACAATCAGGCAGCCAGTCAGGCAGTCAGCCATTCAAGTCAGTTAGTTGCTTAGTTAGTCAACTAGTCAAAGCCGTCAACTGACATGTCGAATTGAACCAACAGCGATATGGCTATCAAAAATCAAAAGCTTTCAAATGCAATCTAAATTGATTACTGTGTTAGGGCAAGGCTAAGTGAAAATAATAAGCACAAAGTTCATTCAACTAGTGACTAGCTAACTACTCTTAATGGATACTTATTGTTGAAATATAATTTAATTCCGAACAGACTTTGACCAATCATTTTATGCGCTACTCTCAACTTCAGTTAAATATATTACTAAATTCTCATGTAATCATTGTTTTTACCAAGTTTTTAATAGTTCTTAACACGTTTCTCCGTTCAAATTTAATTATTCAAGTCAAATTCATCAAGACATTTCACGTATAAATTTTAAATTTTGTAAATGAGTTGCTCAATCATATGCATTAGTGTATTGCATAAATAATTGAAGAAATTAAGAAACTTTGCTATACGGTTGCCAGAGTCAGTGCTCACAAGTCAATAAACAACATAAAAACTCCATAAAAATACTTTTGGCATTTCACAAATAGGCAACTCACTTTACAGAGTCGAATTGGAAATCATCGTCTTTTTGGTGTCGTTGTAGTTGCAATCGAAGAAGAAGTCAACAACAACAACAACAACAGCAACAGAAATGTGTGTGTGTGTTTAGGACTCAGTGAGTATGTCTGACTGCGCGACTGTGTAGCACTTCCGCTTCCGTAACGGAAGCTAATGAACGTAGTCGAGTAGCAGCGACGCGAACAAAATGGCAGCGACTCTAAGAAATGCCAGGCAAATGTTAAATTAATAATAGAGGAGCAGCCGCCTCCGACGCCGCACACAGCGGAAAAACTCCAACGCCCCCCTGTAGCTCTCTTTCTCTCTCCCTCCCTCTGCCACTCCATCTCTGTCTTGCACCCAGTCGCTTTTGGGGCCTTGTTAGTGACAACGGCATTTATGTGACTTTAATTTAAATAACTTTGGTTGGCTCCGGAGCGTGCACTAATACAATTTTAGCGACTAAAGAGACTGAAAACATGTTGCAAGGTTGCTTGCCACACGCCTGCTTCATAACCAAAATATGCCAACAATTTTCGGTAGCACGATCCAATACTGCCAAGAAGTCAGCTCAAAAGCCGCAAGAGAGCAAAGGGTCTGAACAACCCACACCTCACAATCCTCACAGCCAAAGAACACCTTCCCCCTGCTGAGAGAACTTCAAGTTCTCAAGTAGGCGCTACTTTAAGTCGCCCCGAATTCTGGGAATTGTGCGCTGACTGGCACAAATTCATGTTGAGAAATGAAATTTGTAACGCTTTCGCTTTTCAATTATAATTTGGCTTGACGAGTTTTTTGATTGCTTTCGTGTATGCTTGAGCGATATTCGTAGTTATCTGTCCGGCCCCGTCTTTGACTGACCTCAATTGGAATATTCTCTCTCTCTGCTCCGCCTACCCACCCCAATTGTCATCAAACAAGTTTCTTTACTTTGCGGCTTTTGGCTTAATTAGCAAATTGACAGCATGATGTTGAGTGAAAAGCATTTACGAGACGCCTGTTTGAGTTGACTGCTGCTCCTGGAATATGGCCTAAAGTAGCTATCGAAAAAAACATCAAGGTGTTGTTCAAATTGGCAATAAAACCTTGCCTGGCTTAGATAATAAATTCGATACATTTTATAGCTTTTAAAGTCGACACAGCAATTTCAATTAAAAGTTTCGTTCAGCAATCAAAAATAACTTCGGGGTAAGGAATTAATTGTCGATAAATCATTGAGCATTAAATTATGGCCGAAGGCTTTAAAGAGTATTAAGACTTCATTTCATATTAATTAAAAACATATTTAAATTTCTCAGATTAGAACTCTGTCAGACTTAGGTAAAGACTTTCATTAGTAAATATAATGTTAGGACCAATAAAGCGCATATGCATTATACAAATAAATAACTGACAAGATCTTTGAGTATTTCCCTTCAAGTTAACTCATGCAGTTCGATCTAAATAGTCTTTGAGCATATGCACATTGAGTATATCTAAATGTACGCGTTCTATTGGAAAACTGAAACGCTTTCACATAATTAAAATCACAGCATTAACGAGTGCTAATATCTGCTGATGACTGCCTGCCCAAGCGCAAATAGCTTTAATGAAACGCAATTTTCTGAGGGCATTGAAACTTTAATGAGCACTCCCCCTGCCCCGCCCACCCTATTCCCACCTATTCTCCGAAAAACACATTGTACGAAAGTATCGATTTTGCTTTTTGCTAATTTTCAGCTCGTTAGTGTTGTTGTTGGTCTTGCTACGTTTGCCACATTCTGCTGTTGTTATTGATACACACACACACATGCACATGCACACACACACACATGCACACAACACCCACACACAAGGCTGAGGTAGGCAAGGTAGGCGGCATAGACACGTGTGGCTCACAGCGTGTGTGGCATGGAAATGGGTGGCAGACGTACGTTAAGTTTTTGTTTTTTGCCTTTGGCTACCTTCGGGCTGCCTGCCGCAGCAATCCCCATGGCCATGTGGGCTTTTTCAGCAACAACTTTCTGACCATTCAAGGCAAATAGTCGGCACATTGTAACAAAAACAAAGAGGCCTCCTCTGCCTGACTGACTTGCTGAGTTTTCTTATTCCATTCCCATCATCAGCGCAGTCGTTTCTTTTTAGTTTTCTCCTCTCCTCTCTTCTCTTCTATTTTTTTTTTTTCAATTTTGGGTAGATACAGACCTAGTCAGTTTTAGTTTTGCATTTGCAAGTCTGCCCCCGAGATGCCCCAATCCAAATTCCGACTCCCTTTCTGATTCTGAACTCCAGGCAGGTTTTATAGACCAGCACACATTTGTAGTATACGTGTGTGTGTGTCCCTGTCTGTGTGTGTATGTGTGTTTGTGTATGTCTGGCAGGAGTTAAAAGATTTTAAACCCTTAATGATGACGATGATGCTGATGATGTTGCTGTTAAAGGTATCGTGTGGTGGCGTCAACAAAAGCGCTTTGTTCTTGTTTTTCCTGTGTTTGTTATTGGCTAACTGCTGTTGACTTATATTACATGAAGTTTTCATTGCTGTTGTTGTTGATGTTGTTGTTGGTGCTGAGGCAAAAGCCAGAGATAATGCATTGTTTCGACTTGTTGTCTAGCCTCGATGAGCTGCACCTCCGACCAGTTTACAGCCTTCTTTTACTGAGCAAACATAATGGAATTTTCATGTAAACAATTTGCATGTTTTCAGCTCTTACTCACACACACAGGCCCACAAAGATCCCTTGTATGTGTATGTGCATATAGGATGGTGTACTAAAAGCCGAAAGCGATAACTAAGAGCAGGGATATTCCACTTCATCAATTAACACATCAATTTTTGGACCATTGTTTGTTTGTCCATTGGTATTGGTATCTAATAAAGATGTCCTTAAATAGCTCTATTATCATGGAATCGGAGAGTGTGAGTAATTCATTTGACTAAAGCAGCATGACTAAAAATTCTTTCCCAAAAGACAAAGAGACTTTACTTTTAAGACATTTTCATGTGACATCGTTATGGGTTTGAATATTTTATAATTTATATTTGGAACAGCTTTAGATGCCATTTTAACTCGACAAAAATGCCAAATTATATCCCCTCATTTATTGCAAAATTTAATACACGTAAGCAAGTCAGTTGATCTTATTCTAAATAGACAAATATTTTTAAATAAAATTTGGAATCGTTTCAAATAGTTTTTAGTATTTTCATGGAATGAATAAAAGGCAAATGAAATTTTGATAAATTTGAGATTTTAAAATTATTAGTTTGCCATAAATTTCGTTAGAGTATTATTAGACTTAAATACCATAGGGGGGAATGAAAATGATGCTATGTATTCTATTAGTTTTTATGACTACGAAGTGTTGAAAATATGAATTGAGCGCAAAAAGCTAGAAGACTTTACGACAAAGCCTACAATTT